CTGTCTAGTGCACCTGAGTGCAAGAAGGCTGTGTATGCCTTCCAGAGAAAATAAGTGTGTTAGGTAAGCTTCGTTCGGGCATGAGTTAAGGTGCTGATGGTACGTGCAGTGTTAATGACTCCATAACCTGGTACATTCAGAAAAAGGAGAGGAAATTTGCCAATTCAATTGTGAGCCCACTTCAAAAAGTACTAAATAAAACCTATAGGGTGTGATAAAGCCATGGGAAAAGGCTAAGCTTATGGACTCATGAGACGACTGGTGCAGAATAACAACCAAGCAGAGCGGACAGCATTGTGGCGAGGCTCACAGTCAAATACTTCTATAGTCATATTGCCCACGGTATTGAAAATATTACTCCCTCTCGGCGAACATTTTATTATAATAAATGCTGCATATAATCATTTTTAAGAAATATATGTTAAATTTGATGTTTTGAAAGAAAAATACATGTAAGACAAGGTTATATATGAATCTAAAACTGTTCTGACCAGAGGCTCCTAAGAACTAAACTCCATTTTCCACCAGGAGCAATGAATGGCCTATTACTTACTAATTCAGTTTTCCTGGCAACTTTATAGACTGTAACTACCAAGAATAACAAGACTCCTCCTATTTGTAGTTTGGGAAAGAGATTGGTGTCCGATTATTGCTCTACAAAGTAAGAAGCATTAAGACAGCCATCTTAATGATCAACATTTTAAAAATTATGAACATGGGGGTGGGCAGTGGGTAGGGTGGTGGTGAAGGTGCTAGACTACAGTTCAAGTCTCGAACCTAGTGGCTTGCGTGCTTATTCTCCCTTTTGCTCTCTCTCTCTGTCTGTCACTCTCTGATCTGCACATGTGCCCTACAGCAAATTAAAATAATAAGTAAAATTTAATTTAAAAAAATCATAAGCATGACTAGGTGACCAGGTTCCATAATGAATATGTTTTTTTCTGTGAAAAAGTTTTGAAAGGGGGCTGACCCTGTAGCACGGTGGTTAAGCGCTAGGCATTGGGAGCTGACTACTACGTGGTTCAAATCCTAGGACTTGTGCTAGCTTGAAAAGTATGCCATGTACATGCGTGTGCATGTCTAAAATCCTGACAGGAAAGAGAAATGGAAGAAAAAGAACTACGGTGAGGCCTCGCCCCATTGAGTGTACTCTCACACGCATGTGCACACATCCTCTGGCAGTAGGAAAAAAAATTTTGAAATAAAATATTATATTTTTGCTTTTTAAATGATTTGTCTATATGCAGTTTTTAATTTATGGCTAATTTCTTGACAATCATTGGACACACCCAGAAAATCTTGCAAAGTGAGAAATTACTTAGCCCACAGATAATTTTCAAATGCAATTAAATTTTTATAAATGAAAAATTTTACAATTAGTAAAGAGTATATAGCATTGTTTGGTAGACAATGACATATTGATTGTCAGTCTAGATTTTGTCATTCTTTTATTTTGAGGCAATGATTTTGTTTATGTTTCGGTCCATTTTTTTAGGCAATCCTTGGTCATTAGGAGAAGATTCAGACTTTGGAGACGTTAAAGTTTATATAGTTTGGGGCCCTTTTAAGAAAAAGAACCCAAAATTACAAATACACAATCAGGCACCTCAGAAGAGGCATCATTACCTTCCCCATGAATCTGCTTCTGTGAAGCACTTAGAGCCAGTTGGCTCAAAATCCACTGCAGAGACCACCCTCAGAACTGGAAGACCAAGCAGGAAACTATGGGAATAGCCCAGGAATGAGAAAATCAATGTCCAAACTTCGGGGTCGAAAGAATGGAAAAAGATATTTAGGATATAGGTCTGGGGACCAGCAGATGGTGTAATGGTTACATTGCTGAACTCCCACATAGCTGGTCATGGTTCAAGGCTTGGACCCAGCAGCTCAAACCTCACACCAGACATGTGTGCGTGTGTGCTCAAAATCCCAAGAGGAGACTGAAGGAAAAGGGATTGCAGCAGGGCCGTCCTCACTGAGGGAGTAATTTCTCGCTTTCTGTCAGTCTCTGTCTCTCCAGTGAGTGGATTCCAAAAAAAAAAAAAAAACCCTCTCTCTCTAAAAAATAGAGGTCTGACAGGACATGCATGGTATTTGATGACTTGACACGTCAGAAGAGAAGAGTGGTCTGGGTGGTTGGGTAGAGCAGGCTTGAATAAATTACTTCAGTTTGGGAAATACCAAACCTGAGATGCCTTTCAGATGGAGATGCATGGAAGCCATTTTGTGTACCCCTGGGGTTCAAGAGAGAGGACCGGCCAGCATGCAGTGAACAGCTAGTTGGTATGTGAATGGCCACTGAAACCCAGACATTGAAGAGATCTCCCAGGGAAGTGAATAAATTAAGAAGAGATTTGTGATGGATATAGCACCCTAGAGACCACCTGTGTTTAGCCATAGAGAAGCACAGAAATAAAACAAAGAAATCATGTTTCCTCAGTACCGTTAGTTAAGCCCGTGGAGACACCACGTGCATGCATGATGTCGTAGGTGACAGAAAGTTGAGGCAGGCACAGAGATCACCAGCCAGAGCAGAGGGTAAGGGAGACAATGGCTGGAGCTCAGGGTGTGGGTTTTCCAGATGAAAGAAGAGATGTGCAAAGGCATACAGCCAAAATGAGGATAGGGAGCAGTTCATTTTGGCTGGAATATAGACTAGCCTGTCAAAGAGAGGGAGAGGATGGAGAAGGAGAGAGTGAGAAGAAGACAGCATCGACTAGTTAGGTTGGAATAAAATTACGCCTACTTGGAAAACCAAACCATCAAACTTAACAGCAGGAACTTCCAATGTTGTTTGAACAGCGAAATTTCACAATGAGAACTGAGGTTGAACACGAGAGAGAGTTCTCTAGCAGATATGCATACGACTGGCATTTACGGAGGCTACCGTGGTCCTGGGGAATCTGGCTTCCTCTGCACAGCGCTCGACAGCTGCAACTCTTCCTGGGCTAGCCCCACACTAGGTTTACAGTAAAGTCATGCTCAGCTCAAATGCCCACATTGCCCCATTCTGCTGAGTGCTTTGCTGTTTGTTCAGTTTTGTTTAATCCTAACCATAGAACTTGTTTTCCTCTAATAGAATTTCCTCTGGTTGGATTTTGCCCCAGTGCCCACCTTGGTTGAACTTTTTTAAATGTCCTCTGTCTTCCCTAAAAGTGGTCAGCATGCCCTATTTTATATCGCCTGCCATTTGGATCAGCAGTTTTTGGGGGGACAGATCACCTTGAGATAGGTAAGAAGGCTG